AGCAGCCAAACCAATTTTCAGAAGAGGCTTCCTTTTTGCTGGCCAGTTAATTTCAACAGAAGTCAAACATCAGCTTCATAGTTTCATTCACATGAAGTTTAAAGCAGTTGTGAGACTCATAAACCCGAGCAATTTTCTAACCAGGGGTGTCAATCTGAGAGTGAGCTCTGAAAGTAGTTTCTCAGTGTGCCACAGTGTTGTCACTGCATTTGTTTGACTAAATGATCGTACTGTGGCTGATAAGTATGAAATTGCTTAATACTTTCTGCAGCTTCAGGGTGGAGTGGCATTGCTAAACTGCACAGGAACTTTCCAGCTTGTAGAGCTAAATGCTTATAGTAGAAGACCGCATACAGCAATGCTAGTGCTTTGTGTGAAGAGTTTAATAGATGGAAGGCCTTCTGTAATACTGATAAAGAAAACGTTGATCATCTTGAAGTCGGTATCTGTATAATAGTTTTAGATTATTGATATCTTACCTGTAGATAGCTTCTTGAATGGCCTGACTTGCGACCTGTCCAGGGTGTACCATGCCTGGAATGGTACAGTGATGGCTGGGTATGGGCACCAGTGACCCCGCAACCTGGAATGGAAGAGGCAGTTAAACATGTGTGTATGTACAGATGGATGTACGGATGGATGGATGGATGGATGGATGGATGGATGGATGGATGGATGGATGGATGGATGGATGGAGTTTACTTTTGGCAGGACCAATGATCTGATGGCCAGAGACCAAATGTAATTAAGACCAAAGTAGATGCTATTGTTTGAAAACAACTCCAGTTCTTCAAATTTCATTGTGGTTTATGCAAACACAAGTCTAAAAACTTTACATTCCCATGAATTTTACATTACAATATTATTTTCCATAAATTTTATTGGTATTTAAAAGCAAAAATACCAGCAGCAGTAGAAACACGCAGCACTTTTGGGTCATCCAGGGGTCACATCTGGAAGGAATTTTATAATAGTTCTGTAAATGGATGGACTGTACTTATATAGCGCCTTTCTACCTTATTTCAAGATACTCAAAGCTCTTTACAACAATCTGTGCCTCATTTACCCATTCATACAGCACTCTACTAGATCTATACAAAGCTAATTGAACAAGTCATTCTAAAGAGACTAATCAGAGCTTTAGCTCACATTCAAACACCGATGGGACACATATCAGAGGCTATGAGGGGTTCAGTGTCTTGCCCAGGGACACTTCGGCATGTGACTGCTGGTGGATTCAAACCCCCAACTCTCGCATTGGAGGACGACTGCTCTAACCACTCAGCCACAGCCACCTCAATGTCAACATAAGAATATACAGTAATACCAAGCTTACAATGTAATAATAATATATATACTGAAATAAAAACATTGTCAATATCCAGTGCAATTTTTTGAAGACTTAACTAGGCAGGAATCAACTTTAGAAGTACCTGTATGTATTTTTTAATGAGCCATTAATAGGTCATCAAAACGATTGAAAAGGACGCACTTCCAGTATGGAACAGTTTTCATCGTCTAATTTTAACCAGTTCAAGCAGATTTTATCATTTAAATTTCTAAACTGCTGTCCATTTCTCTTTAATTATATCATCAATACTGTTATGATATTCAGAGTCAGAGAGATGTATTTGTCATACACACCACACACGATACATGAGGTGGGACGAAACTATCTATACAGGGTCCCAGTTACAGCCAACAAAATTTCAAATTCACATTCCTCTTTTTTCTTGTACACAACTATGGTGCCACATGAGCTTTCTTTTAATCATGAGAAAAATAATTACAGCAAAACATGGCAAAATAAAAACTTGAACATACAGCAGAAAGATAAAAACAATATTAATTAATAAGAAACAAGGTCTTTAAAAAAATCTGAGGAGTATTTTTTATTTTGTTCAGAGCAATATTCTGTTTATTTGCATGGAACCAGCTGAACCAACTTTTTACTAGAACCAGCCATGAGGTCTATATGATTGAAAAGTAATAACTTATTTATTTGTTTTGAGATGGCAGCAAACTACTTTGACCTTAGATGTGTTCAAACTAACTTTTATCCCATCAGTCCTGTTGGGTGTAAACTCTTTTTGTTCAAACTGAGTTAGTTTAAGGCTCTTTATTATCATTCACATCACATGTGGTACATGAGGTGGAACAAAATTGTGTACTCAAGATCCCAGTTACACCCAAAAATAGCAAAAATATAAACTATAAAAAAGAAGCAATATACAAGGATCTAAGATATACACCAAATGATAATAATATAATATAATATAATATAACATAATACGGTGAATATGATAAGAAAGAAGATATTATTAACACTATCACACTGAACCCCATATCAAAATGACCTAACTATTCCTTTAAACAATGTGAATAACAAGACAAAGACTGGATGATATGTGAGGAGCAGATGTGCAGAGATGGAACCAGGTGTGTTCCTTTGTGTTCTCCTGCCTTCAGAGAAACGCAGGGGCCCGACTGCTGACGGAGGAGATTTTCCTCACACCTCCAGATGTCACTCAGCACCTATTTAGTTTTCCCTTCATTAATCATTTCACAAATCTCAAAGCCACTAATTAGACTAACAAGCTGAGTGAGGAGGTGGCACACCCTCAGGGGCCCTTGGGAGAACAGAGAAGGACGGACCTCTTTCTGAGTCGTTTCTCCTGCTCCACACACACCAACACACACACACACACGCACACACCAACACACACACACGGTGTGAGGCTGGGCGTCCCTGCACAAGGTGCGTTCCTGTTTCAGCCCTCATAGACATAATCCCTGAAGCCTCACAGATTTTCTAGAGTTTGGACTTTTTTAGTGTTCACATTTTGATACAATTGAAGTAAAGATTTCCAGATGTTTATATTTATCAAGGAAAAAAAATTATCAGATGGCTGTTATCTTCTATTGACATATTTTGTGTTGTTTAAGCACTTCTGTGCATGTGTGTGCATGTGTGTGTTGGGGTGTAGTATGTAAACTTCTGTCTGCAGGAGACGCTTTGTAGTTAAAGAATGGGAGCCTCTATAATCTGTGTGGTGTGTTTAAAGGATTTTTGTTGGTCTCAGCACACACACATGAAGAAGCTCAAACGTTCAAAGATAGAATCAGTTCTTTGTAATCTCATGATCACTTCTTTATACAGTTTGTTTAAATTTATTGTAGATTTGACATTTGGTTTCATACTTTCATGTATTAAACTAGAATGTATCATAAAAGTAAAGATGTCAGGATTTGATGTATCAGAAGGTGCAAACTTAGAATTGAACGAGTTGTTTAAATCGGACGTAAATTAGATTTCCTTCCAGTAACTGCCGTTTGTTAAAACAAATCTCTACTTTGAGCATGTGTTTAATTTCTTTGGAAAAGTTAAATGACTGAATGAACTTAAATGACCCCAATTATTGTTTTCAGTCTATTTTTGCAGAACAGTTGAGCTTCTTTTGGGGGGGGGGGGGGGAAGAGACTTTTCTCAGTGCATGATAATCGTTACCCTTTATAGGATACTAGTACCAAATTTTCTGCCGTAAACGTCACACCGCCCTATAAGTTGCATCAGTCCAAATATGTCTAATAAAGTGGAAAAAACATAAATAAGTCGCTTCACCATATAAGCCGCATCTATTATGTGTCACCACTGACGTGTTGCGTTTGTTACGCGTCACCGCTGACAACCCAGGAATGCGTGCCGGTGTTGTGCCAAAAACAGACTTGACTGCCAAATGGCTGCCGGGGGAGCGTGCACAGGAGGACTTTAAGAAGAATTTAACAAGATTTACACTTAAAAACAATTATTTGTTTGCTCAAAATCATAGCAAAGGTGTGTCTCAGTTGAACTTTTCCTTAATAAATGCACTTTGACGGTCAAATCAGCTGCATTTCTCCTGGGCGGAGCAGCGAAATGCAGCTTATTTGACATTTGCTCCAGGAGTTCTGGAGCGAGACAAAGGTGGCTTGGTATGGCAAGCCAAGTGTCTCATTAATAGCCATTTTTACCTATTAATGAGACACTTGGCTTGCCATATTAGTTGAGGGCCCTCTAGTGACTGAAAATGGTAGTGTTCAATTTCCTGATGCATGCTCAATAATCCAGGTAGAAAAATCCAAAAAAGTTAAATCTGGTCCTCTGGACATCCTCTGGAAGGCCCATTTAGGATTTTTTGGGTAGTGTTCAATATTTTCCGTGTCACAATGAATGAAATCGTCAGATCTCAGCCAAAAATTGGGTTATAAATATGGGGAAAAAACATAAATACGTCACTTCGCTGTATAAGTTGTAGGCATGCTAATTTATGCCAAAAACTGCAACTTATACAGCAAAAAATACGGTAAGCAATAAAACAGCATAATTTGTTATGTTTTAAATTGAGCACTGTCAAAGTACACAATGAAAATGAAGTAAAAAACTTATGAAACTTTTGTGACAATCTCTTATTTAACACATTTTAACAACAATTTTATACAACAGTAACAGAAGTATTTCACTCTTTACAAATAGTTGATTTGTTATTTTTGTTCCACCACAACCCAAAGTTGCTGGATAAGATAGATATCTGGTGACTGTGAATGCCATCAGAGTCCACTGAACCAAAATATGAATCAGCTTCGTTACAGCTTAGATTATTACAAAATTAAGTTTAGTGCAATAACTGCATTAGTCCCCTATTAAAATTTGCATTAGAAATATTTCTAATTAGAGACTTGCACTACTACAACTGCTGTTTTAACTTGTTGAATAGCTTCAGCTTATTATGGCACCAGTTGGAAAAAGTCACATTTTAAGGTTTTGCATACTTATGGCATCAATATGTGAAATATTGACATTGTGAAATGGCTGAATGAATAATGCACTATTTTCAAGACATCTGAAATGATTTTTTTTAGTATGCTGTAGCCATACTGTGTAAATGTTTTTCTATGATTGATCTCTGACCAATAACTTTGTCTTCTTTGTCTTGCTGTTCCATCTGGGTTTTGCGATACAGCCAACTGCATCCCTCAGTGCCAAAATGGAGGAATGTGCCTGAGGCCTCAGCTCTGCGTCTGTAAGCCCGGTTCAAAGGGGAAGGCATGTGAACAGACCACGGTGCCCACACACTCCTATCCAGCACTGCCTGGGAATGCACCTTCAAATGGACACACCAGCGGGCACACTAATGGAAACAACATGGTACCCCAGCGGCCGATTCCTCAGCAAGTGTTACCTAATGGTTACGTCTCTGCCTCCCCTTCGGCTAATAACATGGCCCAGATGAAGCTAACTGTCAAGGCGCCCCCCCAGTTTGTAAGACCCCAGTATATCCAGCAGCACATCCAACAGCAGTAAGTACCTGCCTTAGACTCTAACTTTTTTTTTGATTGTGGACTTCATGTTTAGAATTTATGCATTTTTACTCCCTAGCTTTTATAGAAAGTTTCTTCCAGCAATTATCCACCTCCAAGATGGCCGTTATTCTGTCACATATAACTCCACCTTTATCAGCTCTCTTTAAAACTTAATAAAACCAAACTCTTTTGACGTATCACAACAACAAAAGACAGTGCCATCTTTAAACAAATACAATATAATTTATAAACCCACCTCCATCCATCCATTCATCCATCCATCCATCCATCCATCCATCCATCCATCCATCCATTATGTTTACCTGCGTCTTCCTTTTCGGGTTGCGGGGGTCACTGATGCCCATGTCCAGTCACCATGGTGTAAGAGGCGGGGCTTGTACAGGTCTCCAGTCCATCACAGGGACACATAGAGACAAACAAGACAAACAACCATTCACCCTCACCTAGGGACAATTTATGCCACTTTTCCATTAGTACCTTTCGTACCAGTACAGCATGGTTTGACGGGTTTCAGTACAGGGTGAGAATTTATTTTTGAAGTTTCTGGTAAATTACAAAGAATACAGATTATTAAAATGATCAAATTAAACTATATATATGTGTGTGTGTGTGTGTGTGTGTGTGTGTGTGTGTGTGTGTGTGTGTAAATCCTGCTAATGAACTTTTAATGAACTCATTAAATCACCATTAAATTCATTAAATTCATTAAATTCACCATTAAATCTCTGATTAACAAGATTCTGCAAAAGCATCTACTTTTACATTTTTATAGATTTTCTTCATCATTTGATGTATTTGCACTCCTTGTGTCTACTGTACTTTTATTGTTCAATTTAGATATGTGGTTTTGTTTCTTGTTCACAGATATATACATATACATATATACCATACCATACCAATTTATTTATAGAGCACTTAAAACAGCAACAAGGCCAACCAAAGTGCTGTACAAAAGAAAACAAACATGCACAGCGGACAGGAAAACATAAAATAGAAATACAGATACAAATAGCAGCAGAAGCTAACTAAAATGGCCAACAGTGTGGAGTACAGACAGGATCAAAACAAATCACAACGTGTTAAAGGCAAGAGAATAGAAGTGGGTCTTCAAGCGAGACTTAAAGACTGAGAGTGTGGGAGCCTGCCGGACACTCAGTGGCAACTCATTCCACAGTCGGGGACTTGCAACAGAGAAAGCCCTGTCACCTCTGAGCTTACGACGGGTTTCTGGGACTGAGAGAAGCATCTGGTCTGCTGACCCCAGAGAGCGCGGTGGGACATATGGCTGCAGAAGATCAGTGAGATAGGATGGGGCGGAACTGTTCAGTGATTTAAAAACATACATGAGAATTTTGAATTGGATCCGAAGGTGAATGGGTAGCCAGTGCAGGGAGGCCAAAACTGGCGTGATGTGCTCTCTATAGCCTGTACCAGTTAAAAATTGGGCTGCAGCATTTTGGACCAGTTGTAGACGAGCAATGGAGGACTGACTGATTCCAAACAGAAGTGAATTGCAGTAATCAAGCCTAGATGTTATGAAGGCGTGGATCACTGTCTCAAGGTTCTTTTTGGAGAGTATAGGCTTCAGCTTAGACAGCCGTCTCAGCTGAAAAAAACAGGATTTGACCATCATGTTTACGTGACTGTTGAGTTTTAAGGACGGGTCCATTATCACCCCCAGATTAGGGATCTTTTGTTTCTCTATCGGGGCTAGAGAGAAAAGGTCAATGTCATGGTTCATGAGTGAGCCACTGGGATGGAACAGCATGACTTCAGACTTCTTCTCATTGAAGCTTAAGAAGTTTAAAGCCATCCAGTCCCGGATGTCAGCCAGGCAGTCAAGAAGAGGCTGAATAGAGCGTGTGCCTCTGTGCCTCAGGGGGAAGTAAATTTGGCAATCATCGGCGTAGAAATGAAAGGGTATGTTGTGTTTGCGGAAGATAGCACCTAGTGGCAGCAGGTATAAAGAAAAAAGAAGGGGACCGAGGATGGACCCCTGTGGTACCCCCCACTGGAGCACTGTCGATGCCGAACTAAAATCTTTGATATTGACACAGAAGGTTCTGTCAGAGAGGTAGGACCCAAACCATTTAAGGGCTGACCCTGTGATGCCCACCCACTGCTCCATTCTAGAAATGAGGATCTTGTGGTTGATGGTGTCAAAAGCAGATGTAAGGTCCAATAGGACAAGCAGCACAGAATCACCTGCGTCTGTGGATATGAAAATGTCGTTAAAAACCTTCTGTAGAGCAGTTTCAGTGCTATGGAGAGATTTGAAGCCAGATTGGAATAACTCTAGGATAGCGTGATCCCCCAAAAACTGTTTCAACTGAGACTCCACAATTTTTTCCAGTAGTTTAGAGGTGAATGGGAGTCTGGAGACAGGCCGGAAGTTGGACATGACTTGTTAGGTTTTTTCAGGAGGGGCTGGACAGCAGCATGTTTAAAAGTCTTTGGCACCACACCTGAGGATAAACTGCTATTCAGAATAGCGAGAATAAAAGGACCCAGGGTAGGAAAAACTTCCTTTAGTAGTCGAGGGGGGACCACATCAAAGGGGGAACCAGATGGCTTCATGTTGCACATTACCTGCTCCAGAGAAGACAGAGAGATGGGCTCAAAGTGGTCAAACACAGCCACACACTGAGATGGGATGGACAGATCATGAGCTGGCGGAGAAATGAGTGCCCGGGTGTTTGCTACTTTTTCTAAAAAGAAATGGAGGAAGTTTTCACACAGCTCAGTTGAGGCTTCCAGAGGTGAAGGCTCACTGAGGTGTAGAACTGAGTTCAGGGTGGAGAAAAGAACTCGGGGGTTGTGGGAGTTGGAGACAATTAAATCAGAGAAGAATTTACATTTGGCAGCTTTAACGGTTTTCTGACAGTGACGCCAACTCTCCCTTAACATTTGAAAAGAAACCTGCAGTCTGTCCTTCCTCCACCTTCGTTCAGCTCTGCGACACTGCTGCCTAACGGCTTGCGTGACGTCATTCAGCCAAGGCTCTGATTTAAGTTTCGTTTTTCTGGTCTTAAGGGGAGCGACACGGTCCAGAACATCTAAACAGGCAGAGTTGAACTGAGAGGTTAGCTCCTCAGTGGTAAGAGACACCGGGAACTGTTCGATCCTCTCAGAATTAAAACCTTCATTAAAACGAGCAGCAGTGAAATGGTTAATGGAACGCGTACGTGCAGGAACGCACGTCTTAGCAGTATGACAAGGGGGGGTGAAGTCAAACAATACAGGCATGTGATCTGAAAAAACATTGTCACCGATTTTCAAATTAGAAACAGAGACATCGCGTGTTAAAACGAGGTCCAGCGTGTGACCGTGTTCTTGGGTGGGGCCGTTCACCTGCTGAGCTAAGCCAAAAGAGTCCAATAAATCTAGAAAGTCCTTCACTAAGGGCTTCTCCTGACAACACACATGCAAATTAAAGTCACCAATAAGCAAAAAGTGAGTGTATCTCTGTGTGATATCAGCCAAAAAGTCAGAGAATTCATTTATGAAGTCCTTAGAACGAGGTGGGCGATAGACGAGCGCGCACAGAACCGTAGGAGAGTGTCCGAGTTCAAAGACGCTCAGCTCAAAGCTGGTGCGGGACACCGGGATGGACAACTGTTTACAGGCCAAGTTTGCTTTAAAAACTGTTAATAATACCCCCCC